CGTTTGTGGTTAGTTTCGAAATGTCAAAATGATGGAAAGGTGGGAAACGAAGCCCTGAATTACATCTACGTGCATTGATTAATCGTCGATTTTCGTAGACTGATAGGTTCTTCCTGCATCCTTTTTTCTAATTGCAAATCTTGTCCGAAATGTACTAAGGCCGAATAGTTATGTGTAATTAGCTCATGGCCTGTTTTTCTTCACAGTTGTTGTTTGTTATCTTCCAAAGCAAATCAGCGCTAACATGTAATGTCGAAGGTGATTTTAAAAACTCTGCAATCTGATTAATAATGTTGTCTCCTAAATATAGTATATGGTTGGGTCAGCCATTGACGAAAGTGGGCACTGTCAAGTTTAGCATTTTATGAGCCTGGAATTCTTGTTTTTGCGGTAATATTGCATGCATGTTTTTTACATGGCAAAATGCAGTATGATTGCAAACGGAATATTTGAAGCTGAAACCTAGCATGCTGGCGTGTTGTTCATGTTCATCAAGAAATAATGAAATTCACCATGTTATAGTAGTTGAAGTAAGTGCACTTACACGTTTCTTTTGTTCATCAAGCATGACGTCTGTATACAGTTGTGTAGTCTTAAATTTCTCATTTGAATTGTTGGTCACGCCAATGGGAACTGCCTAGAAAGCGGATAGATGTGTTTCTCCTTATGCTTTTTTGGTATAGAGTGGTCTATGTTTAAAGTAACAAAATGATTGCGCTTTCCATTTCTGCTTTTTCTCCTTCAACGTTCGTACCTTTTGACTAGCTCTAGGCTAGCTATCGAAGGTCCAAAGATCTTTTTTCCTTGATGCTGCCACGGATGAGTTTTGCTCTTGCGCAGGGCTTACCGACGAATTCAAATTGTTGAAGGTAACGGCTTCAAGAAATAGCTGAATTTGCACTTCACTTAACACTTAGTTAAAGTGAGTTGTCATGGAAGTTGTATGTTTATATGTTGTATGTGGCGTATGTGCATGTATATGTGTATGTGTATGTATGTTCCGAATACAAATTTTTGTTTCTGAACCGATCTG